TTCACGATGTCCAACATCATTTTCCATTTTTCTTTTACAGATTCAAACGTCCAAAATTAGGGCTAAAACCCCATTTTCTTTGGAAAAAAAAAATCAATTTTAAGAAAAGATTTCCACCATTTCAACACAACTCATCCATAATCGTATTTCTACAACCATTGTCAAGAATCAATTTGGAATACCCCTCCTTTGATTTCAAAGCAAACCCTAAGGTTTACCAAAAATTCCTAAACAATTAACCTTTTTAAAAAGCAAATAACTAAGTTAAAATTCATAAAAAGAGTCAACGAACTCCCTACCTCAAGTACAAGACAAGAACAAATTATGGGTAGAACTTGATGGAGCCGAAAACAATAACTTCTCCGATTAGAACGAAACCCTCAACGAGCTCTATCTTTTACTCCAAAGGAGAAAGGTGAGGAAATCGACGGATTGAGAGTATTTGGAGTTAGAGTTCAAGAACTAGAGAGAGAAAAAGTAGATCTAGGGTTTTGGAATGTTTAGAGAGAGAAAGAGATGGAAAAGTGACTGAAAATAGCTTCCTCTCGGATTGATATACGCACAAACTGCTTGAGTGCAAGAATTTTCGCTTGAGTGATAGACATAATAATTGACATTGCTTGAGCGACCAAAACCATCGCTGGAGCGAACAATGACCGCCTCCCAGACGTTCAGACTTGAAAAAGATTATTCGAGCGCAAGAGGGACCGCTCGAGCGAAGATATCAAACTTTCAATAGTTTTACAGACTGTAAAAGGCCGTTTGAGAGCAAGAAGCAGGAATGGTTGTTCGAGCGACAGGCAAAATTCTGGGCAACAACATTTTGAAAAACTAACTTCCAAACCTATTTCAAATACAACCAAAACTCCTAATAGCCAAATCCAACAAGAAATAAGATGGAAATGAGTTGAACAATAGTTAAATACACGGGTTCTCAGATCCAAAAGCAACGAATGGGTCGGGTCTAAACCAAAATCCTTATAATTTGAGGGGGTGATCCCCTTTCCTCTTAGATTAGGCTAGTGTAGGTTCTAAAGAGTGAAAAAAAAAAATGGATTTAAGACATTATAAAAAAAGCAATATTTGGGAAATAGTTGTGAGGATACAGTATGTATCATGTTTTATGATGGAGAATTATAGTGACTAAATTTTTCATTGTGGTGAACTTTTGTTTGAAGGGGTGGTCTATGTTCTAAAAGAGTTGCTTATGTTTCACTAGGCTATTTGTTTACAAGGTGTACGTGGTATATGTTGAGATTCACAAGGCTACTACTAAACATTCATTGTTTTGAAATTATGCTCAACTTTCAATGAGATATTTTAGTTGCTTCATTTGAAATTGGTTCAAGTTAAAATATGTATAGTTTTCAAGTTTACTCAACCAAGTTGTTGAACTGGGAATGGATACAGGCATGAATTACAATGTTAAAGGCTTGATACAATAATGATCTTATTCCATTTCTTGATGTAGGTTGCTCAAAGGATTGGAGCCCAGGTTTGAACAGGAGCACAACTATTCCCTTCTAACAACTTGACGAGTGCTTTCTTTCATTGTACCCATAGAGAGGCTTTTCATTTAGTCTCTCTTCCTAACCAGTCATGTATGTTCTACTCTTCTATAATCCATACGAGAGAGATTAGAGATGAGGGAACACAGTTGTTTTAACTGTAGAATAAATGGCAATAAAAGAACATTTGTGGTGAGTTTTTTTGTTTTTTGTGTGAAGATAGTTTTATTGTTCCATGTCAAATTGCTATTATATATAATATATATACTAACAATATATACACCTATGCAATTAAAAAAAAATATTAGTATTAGAATAACAGCAAAGAAGAATGCACTCAAATTATGATCTTAGTTTCGAATCTTGTTAATCTCTTAACATTAATTTTACACAAACACAACTATAGGGGAATTTTAGGAAAGTTTGAAATATGAGACATTTTGTGTCAACACCATCTTATTAAGGCTTCACATATAAAAATAAAAAAATAGATGAAAGTTTTTTTTTTTTTTTGGGGGGGGGGTTTCATTTTTTGTTTCATCAACTTTAAATTTGATGATTTTTTTTTTTTTTTAATTTTACACAAACACCAACTATAGGGGAATTTTAGGAAAGTTTGAAATATGAGACATTTTGTGTCAACACCATCTTATTAAGGCTTCACATATAAAAATAAATAAATAGATGAAAGTTTTTTTTTTTTTTTTGCAAAATAGCTTTAATTAGATAGATAATTAATGTTCAAATCAATATCTCAAAGACTTCCATCATCAATAAGGCCTCAATAGCCCACAGATGAGGGATGGTCTCCCACTTGCAATAACCTACCCCACCCAAACCAAACTTGGCAAACCCGTGGGGCATTGTTTAGGATAAAATGACGGTCACAAATGCAAAACATCTTGAATAAGGACTTTTACATCTTGATGAACACCATCTTGATGATATTTGGGCATCTCCTCCAAGCATGATTGTTTGGATTTGGGAATCTTTAGCTAAGAGGACTACCTCTTGAAGCGCCAAACCTTCAACCATTTGAGTTGATACGGTTCTCTATTCACAACGATTGAGCTTTAACAAGCTTGCCAACACAAAGTCCTACCCTTTTCTTTTTTGAGATCGCAACCATGTTGCATCAAAATTCACCTCCACCCATCCATCCTCTTGGGCTTTCCATCCACTATGTAGCTCAGCTTCACCTCTCATCCTTTTTCTCCCAACTTTGGTTTTAGCCTTCACTTGAGCCTACAAAAATTCATTGCCCTTTTCTATGGCATATTGCGTATTTTGTATACGATCACATAATTCATTCTGAAATATGCATTCATCTCTACCCCCTCCAAATTCCCTAGGCAATGGATGCAAGGTAAGCCATCGCTCGTTGTCCCTCTTGCACAACTTTGTACTCTACTAAAATTTGCTTTCACTAATGATAAAAGGATCTACAATCCATGCCACAAACATCCCACCAAAGTAGAGAGGCAGACTACACTACCCAAGCAAACAGGTATTGGACTAGTACATGCATAATTGTTTTTAGTTACTTTGCCACAAGGCCCCTCTAACTGGAACAATATCCCATACACATTTCCAAAAAAAATGTTCAACTTTGCCCAAGGTACAGGTACTCCATAACTGTTTTCAAAAACATTTATGTTCATCTAGGTCACTACATTCCCCTTCCCCATTTAAACCCAACAAGTTGTTGCACTTCTCGAGTAACCACCATAGGCAGTGGCATTTCTAGGATCAAATCAATGTCATTATTTTGGAAAGCATCACATGTTACCTCCCTCCTCCTTTCATTCCTAATCTTATTAATCAAGTGGCACAATGATGACCCACGAAAATATTTAACTTGGTGGATTATAGCAACCAAACTATTGTTATCTTGGATTAACCACCACTTTTTGCTTGGCAAGCATTGCCAAATTAAAAGCCACTAATCCTAGATTCTGAATCCCTTTCCATTCATATTTATCGTCAACTTGCTCTACCTCGGCCAATGGATTTGACGTTCACCCTTAGTCCCACCAATACGTTGCTATAGAACTAGTAAGAAATTTGTAGGAAAAGACGGACAGTTTGAAGCAGCCCATAGCATACGTTGGTAGAGCAGAAGCCAAGAATTTGACTATGACCTCCCTCTCGGCTAGAGAGAGAAAACATTGTTTCCAACCCACTAAATGTGATTGAATTCTCTCCTTAATGTAATTGAAGACCTCTACCTTAGATTTACCAAAGTCTATAGGAAGTCCAAAATACTTACCCAATTAGCCTTCCCAGGAATGTTCAGTACTTCTTGTACTTTCCTATGACTCTTTTGGAGTGTTCTTACTGAAAAACAAAGTTGACTTGTTATTGTTTATCATTTGATCCAAAGATCTCCTTAATCTTGCAAGCATCACCCTCATTAGCTTTGTAGAAAGTAATGTGTCATCTGTACGGGAAAGAAGTAAACCTTCTCGTATAATTCTGTTGATCAAGTCTACACTCCTCTGTACGTCGTCGCTTTATCACCTGAAAACACAAACGTGAGCTAGCCGGCGAGTGTGTGCCGAAAACCTCTCCGATGCCTAAGTCAGTAAGCTTGACAAATAGACAAAAGCTCTGTGTATTCAGAAAGCAAAGTTGTGTGTTACCTCTCCAAAGGTGATGTTGTGAGTTTTTATAGGTTTCGTGTGGCACAATCCTAGTAGGACTTCTACTCCTCTATGCAGAGTCCTCCTAGGATTCATACTCCTGAAAGATAATGCTTATCCTTCAACACCCCCCTCACTGCTTAAACCAAGTGAGATGGTTTTATCATGGCCGAACTCCAATACGACCAAAGTAAACATGACTATGCATAGCCGTAGAATAAGCCGAACTAGCTCTTCCTTTTACTGCTCTTACGTCGGTTTCTCATGCACAACCCATGGCATGGTTAGACCGAACTAACAAGTCGTGACCGGTATAATTCCAAGACCGGTCTAACTCAAAGGTACCGTTAGACCGATCTAACTTCGTCCTTACGTCGGACCGGACTAGCTTCATAGCCTTAGGACCGGGCTAACTTCAGAATATCCACACGACCGGAGTAACATTCCATTTATCTCGGGCCGGAGTAATTTTGTACCTCTCTTGGGCCGGAGTAACTTTACGGCCTTTTTACTCAGCCCTTCGTATTGTGGGCCATAATGACCATCTCCCAACTCGGCCCAATTTTTACAAAAATTACCCTCTCACGTGAATAATAGGTGGCTTATAGCCCAAATATATACAAGTTGTATATGATGATTTCTATCCCTAAGAGGATTCACACCACAATGGCTAAAAAAGTACGAGGAAGCGTATCAATAGTGAATAGTTTTTCAATCATTTTATCATAGTCACTGCAGGACTAGGTAATAACTTATTGGTTTATGAAATTGGAAGAAAATGAAGATATTTCATATTTTATCATGAGAAATATAACTATAAGCTGGGAATTATGGTTTAGAGAAGGCACAAGACACCAAGATTGTTCTCTTGCTTGGAAAATAATATCGAAGAAAGATACTTTAATACACACTTTGTATTCAAAATGTTTAGAGTGTGTTATAATCACAATATTGAGCATTGTGATCATCATTATCATCAAAAGTCATTCTCATGTTCATTAATTATGGGTATCTCCATCCTCCTTGTACACATCACCACCATTATCATTGTTGTCATTAGTCTCTTCCTTTTCTCCTCCTTCCTCCTCGCCTACTTCATGCTGCAAGGAATACAAATAAAAAATTAAAAAAAAAAAGGAAGTACAAATTTTTTTATAGACAAACTACTCATAGGAAAGATTTAGAAAAACGAAATGCAAAGAATCTCACTTCTTGTTGTTGCAGGTGCTGTTCCAATTGTTCTTGTTGTTCTTGTTGCTGCAACACAAGAATACAAATAAAAATTCAGACAAGTTTGATTGATAAATTAATATGCAAAAATGTAAAGGAAAAAAGGGAGAAAAAAATAACACCATAACTCGCAAAGCACCATTTGAGGCAGCATGGTGCATAAGAGTTGCAACTACCATTGGGGCAACATGGTGCATAAGAGCCACATATTACTATACTCTTATGATAGAAGATTGTTTATATACATGAAGTTGATTAATATGAATAGATGAAAAAGGGAAACCAAGAAGATAACAGTGGATTTGGGCGGAATTATTTTTTTGAGAAAAATTATAAAGTTGTTAGTTCAAAAGAAAAGTAACAACAAAATTCCAAAGGACCAAACAAAAAACCCTACTCAAACTACAAATAACAAATTAAAAATCTGCCAAAAATCACATGCGGTCTGGAAAAACCACCAATCTACGATAGAATTATTGAGGTTCCTTGAATATTTCTCAGTTTTTTGGATAAAAAATATAATAAAGGTAAAGTTTGGTTCCAAACACAGGAGTTTGAAAATGCATCCAATCAAGCACACACAAGTAGTGGCTTTGCTAAAAGAATTGGTTTGGGGCGGGGCAGGGGATGGGGGAAAGGGTGTATTTAGTAGCTCCCCTCTAACACATGGGAGATTAGTGGCTTTACCATTAGAATTTTGAAGTGGCACGTGACTTGATACTTGATTTGGCATCTTCATTGGTGATAATTTCGGTTTTTCATCAAGCCCTTTCAATATATTATTTAGGATGAAATTCAAAAAGAACATGACTTATAAATAAGATGATGATATGCACTCTCTAATTTAAGTTGGGAAAATTTAGCCAAAACCCCTCCATTGGACCCTTGTTTGATGAAAATGACAAATCAATTCATATTACTTCATAAACCCATTAAAGAGGAGGCACATAATTGAGCAAGAACAGAGTAAAATTTCTTTTTAATTTTTTTTTGGACAATATTGCCCATGCATATATATATATATATATATATCACATAACTCTTTTGACGAGAAACACTTTTATTTATTTTATACAAGTTTAGAAATGTTGTGTATATGTATTTTTGGTTAGTTCATCTCGTATGTACTATGTTTTTTTGTAAAAATAAAATGTCACTGTAAACTAGAGTAACATATTACTATTTACGTCAACTTTCATAGTATGCTTTTTATTTTTTATTTTTAAGAATTTCATAATCAACATGGATCTTATGTGATATATCTTGATGAGAGGATTTTAAAAATACTAATTTTATTAAAAACCAACTTCTAGATCAAAAATTATATTATTTAAAAGTTTAAAATATTAAATTACTACTGAGTATATTTTGGTAATAATGGTATATGTTGGACTTTTCAAGGAAAACTTTTTGTGCTTGCTTTTAATACATTAAAATTTAATTATGAGAGTTTTGATCAAATCTCCTTTAAGTTTCTTATACTCGATTTTTCTTTTCCTCTCACAAGAGGTGTGTAAGAGATTTGTGTGTGAATGAATATAATTGTTCTCCAAAATTGACGAAAGTTAGAAATTTGTTAGACCAATATTGCTACCTTGGACTACCATTCCTAATTAGTGGAGGAAATTTATTTCTACATTTGCTATTTTATATTTTTCCTTTTGAAACCCTTGAATTTATTTAGATTTATATAATATATATATAAATTATGTTAATCATCCACTTTCACTAAAAAGTAGTAAGGTCTCAAGTGATCATTTTTAATGTTAGATGAACTTTTTTCTTTTCTTTTTTTTAAATTTTGTCCTATAATATCATGTTTACTAGATATGATAAGAATATGAGTATGGGATGTGTGTCGGTCTCCCATATCTAACTTAGAGACTTGTATTCTCTAATTTTATATAATGTTTGAAGAGGAACAAGCTCATATTTGCTAATAATTTTTGTTTTTTTTTCTTTTACGTGGCTGAGAGCTAGAAATTCTATACTTTCTTTTCTTCTTCTAAATATGACTTAATTTCACATATATTTTTAAATAATTTTAGTAAATTTATTCGTGGATCTCTCTTCACCTAGTTATGTTCCACTTAGTACAAATTATTTTATTATGTTCCAATAAATCCTATAGGTGACATAGTTACCAAAATCCCCTAATAATAATAGGGTAAAGCAGTCATTAATGTTCACATTGTTAACATGAATATTCACACTGTCAAATTTATTTAATGTGAATGTTCATATCATCAAGTTGCTAAGTGTTCAAATAATATTTGTAAAGGTAAAGTTGTTAATAAAATACCTTAAATATAAGAATTAAAATTTGATAGATCAAATGTCCAACATAATAAGACTTATTAGATAAGAATATCTTATGGACTAACTGCGATACAAATATTTGAAACAAGATTATCTAATAACTTTCCCCAATAATGTACCTCATATTATCTGATAAAATTATATAATATGAAATATATATATACATTTTGACATGTCCACATAACTTTTGGATATATATCCCAATATTCTAAGATTTAAGTTTAGAAGTCTTGTACTTGGATGGGCATTAACAATCAATACTCATACTTGATGCCATGTAACATGGATACTTTTATGAGTAATGCTACATATAGCGATCCCGGTTGTCCCTTTACTGTTCAGTTGTATTTCAGACTCGGTTCTGTGGAATTGGTAGTTGTATCTATCTTGTTGTCGTCCTTTAAATCCATTTGTTTGAGTTTTAGGATGTGTCGGGCTTGGTTGTTACAGGTTGGTAGAGCTTTGGCTCCTATTGTTGTTGCCCAGTTTTTGAGTGGTCCGCTCGAGCGGGTCATTTTGCGCTCGAGCAGGGTTTATACCGTTCCAGCATTTCGAGTCCCTGCAAAACTTCTGCAGGTGTGTTTTCTACGCTCGAGCGAGTTTCTTGCGCTCGAGCGGGTTGCGCTCGAGTGGACTTGTTGGTGCTCAAGCGGGTAGTACCTCGTTGGTGAAAGTTCTGAGAGATGAAATCTACGCTCGAGCGGACTGGTCTTTCGCACTCGAGTGGACTGGTCTTTCGCACTCGAGCGGGTGTGCTTTGTCTTTGTGTCTTGGAGCTCGAGTGGAAATTCTTACGCTCGAGCGGACCCAGTTTTCTGTTCTTGACGCTCGAGCGTCCTGTTATCCGCTCGAGCGGGTATGTCGTATATCAGTTGATAGTTGGGCGTTTTAAAAATCATTTTTTACATTCTCTCTCTCTCTCTCTCTCTCTCTCTTACTTTCCAAAAAGATATTTCGAGAGCCTCTCTCTCTAGAAACTCCCTTCTCTCTAGGGTTTGATCTAGTTAGAGTGTCTCCCTATCCTCCGACCTTTGTAAAAAGTGTGTTGATCGTCGAGGGCTCCATTTTGATCTGTGGATCTTTAAGTTTGGAGCATTTTGGTTTTCTTCAACTTCCCCGTTTGAGCTCTAACTTCGAGGTAGGGATATCCTACTCCTCTTTATGAGCTTTGTCTTTAAATTTTAGCATTTCGATATTTTGGGGTTTGTTGGGTAATTTTGAGAAAGTTTGGGCTTTTATGTAATTTTACAAAAGAAGGGGTTTTACTTATATAAACCTATATGCATGTTTAGCATGGGGAATTGAGGTAAATGTTGGGTCATTGATAGAAATGGAACCCTAGGGCTTTTTTGTTAATTATAGGAAATGCTCTAAATACATTGATAAATTAATTTGTAAAATTAATTTTGAGAAATGAGAGTTAATTATGGGAAAATACCCTAATTAGTTGGATAAATTAATTCGTATAATTAATTTTGAGAAATGAAGAATTGAATTGAGAGTATTCAATTGAAAAGATTATGAGATTAACGGGTGTAGTTGGATTCATTTAATCGCTCACCCAAGTTGAATGTTGATAAAATATCCATTTGGAGCATTTATTTTCTGTTTAGAAATAACTGTTTTGAAATAACTGTTTTGGACTATCGGTGGAAGATAATCTTGATTGTTGTAGATAACACATGATGATTAGGCAAACTAAAACTAATCGATTGAGTATGCTATCGAATATAGTGGTTGGAATAATACATCGACTTTATGTATTGGTTGTTTATGTATATGATCTATGTTTATATACATTGTGTGTGTGTAGGAGGAGATAGGGGATGTACTCCACGGTTTAGGAGAAGATAGGGAATGAACCTCTAAACCGGATTTCGTGTGACATTGATACAGTACTACAATGTGTACCAAGTGTTGATTATGGAAGTGTTTAAATTGATTTGATATAGCACTAAAATGTGTATCGTTATCAATTGTGAAGTATATGAGTGTTCCTATGTTATGTTGATACAGCACCAAAATGTGTATCGTTCGTATAGTATGGGAGTGGTTTATGTGTTATTGATACAACATCAAAATGTGTATCCATCATGAATTTTCGAAAGTGTTTTTAAGATGAGTCTTATTCTCATCAAGTTATTTGACTAAGTGTTGAGCCTTGTTTTCAAACTCAAGGTTGAAAAAGAAATGAGAAATGAAGTGTAACATGGACTTAAATATCATGAAATTAAAATGTGATATGAGTGAGTGTATCGGTGTTGACCATCTATCAACTGCTAAACTTTTGGTCATTGTTCATAGCTGGTTTAGTGTATTTCTGCTGGGCTGTGGCTCACCCATTATGGGATATCATTTTCAAATACAGGTAGCATGCCACCTCCAAGGACATAGCTTGAGAGGCTAGAGGCAGACAGATTCCTTTTGTTGTTTGCTTTCTTTTGATGTATTACATGTAAATTCAAGCCAAGGGCTTTATATGTATGGAGTTAGTACTCTTCTTTTTGTAACCAAGTGTTAACTTGGAAAGCTGTAAGCCCGTAGGGCACTTGCTTTTGTTGTTAACATGTAATACTTTTGTAAGAACTACTCTGATTAATGGAAAGATGGTTGATTTCTTTTATGTCAATGCATGTCTAAAGTGATAGGTTTTACGTATTATTTTGAGGGCATTACAACTTGGTATTAGATCGTACCGGGTTCGAATAGTTTGGGTACATGGGAAGTGATTAGGATCACAATGGGCTTGTCTTGCTTGAATAGAGACTTAGATGTAGTGTTATGTGCTTATATGATAGCATGTTTATGTGGCTACTTGGGTATGAGATTTAGTTTCTAGGATGTTGATTGGATCCTTGGGTTTCTGGGAGTCTTGTTGGAAAAGCACTTGATCAATGCTGTTTCTAACCGGAACTCTATTAACGCCTCGGGACTATCATTATCGAGGAATGAAATTTGTAATTGCCTATGTGATTATGTGCTTACATGGAGTGAATTACAGTTGTCCATGTATTAGGACGCGAGTGTTTAGTTTTGCCACAT